AGAGGTTTCACCTCACATGTGTCATATTGGCAAAGATGATACAAGTTGGAAATCTTCAAAACTGTAAAAGACACAAGAAGGGAGGCCTGCAAACACACTATTAATAAAGACACAAACTGGTCCTGCTCTTGGAAATATTCTTCATGTTTTCAAATGTAGCCAATGTGTTGATTTCTATTGCTGTTATGTATACATACATATGCATATATGTATGTGGGTATAGCTATAGATAAAGCTATAGACATCTAAAATGGAGTAGTGTATAAACTACTGTGCCTGGAGTCAGGAGGACCTCAGTTCAAATCCAGCCTCAGACACTTACTATGTGACTCAGGGTAAGTCACTTAGCCCTGTTTGCCTCAGTTTCCTTACCTGTAAAATGAGAAGGAAATAGTATTTTTGCCAAGAAAACACCAAATGGGGTCACAAAGAGTCAGACACAACTAAAATCACTGAACAACGGCGATGAATATACGTATATATTTGCTACAAGGCAATTGAGCTAAGATGGAGAAGAAAGCTACAGAACAACAGCTGGCAGGAATAGTTGGAGTCTTTTGTTTTTGTTTTTGGAGACAGAGACACGGATGTGTTTGTGGGCAGCAGAGAAGGAGGCAGTAGACAGGGAGAGACTGACGATTTATGAGAGAAGGGGCAATCTACCCTGACATTCTATGAATCTATGAACCTGAAAAGCTTGGATCTGGAGAGATCAGAGAGCAAGGCAATGGGGAAGAGGCAAGATAATTCAACTAACGTGAAATGATATTAGTTACTAAAGATAGGAGTTTAGAGCTTTTCATTCACACACCCTGATGGATGTCAGTAAGCTCTCTGTTGTATTTCTGGCCCTTTACTGTGCTTTTTTCAAAGGTAATCTCTAGGACCCTGAGTCCGATCACACACATTCTTCTACCCACTGCCCATCCCAACAGTTAAATACAACTGAAATGAATCTAGCTCTAATTAATAGGAAAGACAACCTTGACATGGAAGCCCAGTGCATTAAGCACTGGTGATTTCTTCCACCATCAAATTACAATTTAGTGATAATTTATAGTCTGAGAGAGCTGCCTAAAGCTCACACAGATTAAGCTGCACTAGTAAATGCGAGAGGCAAGATGTGAACCCTAGTTTTTTCAGCTTCAACCCTCTATTCATCATTCTATGTTGCCTCTTAATCTAGAATAAAGGGGAAGAAATGTCATAAAAAAGCAACATGTCACTTGAAGGTTATGAATTGCCCAGGGTCACACAGCCAGAATTTGTCAGGGACAAGATTTGACCCCAGGTCTTCCTGGCCAACTCTTTAACCACTGTACTACAATGTCTCTCATGCCTCATGTATTGCATGTGAATTGTTCATGTCTACATATTTATTTTCTTATTTTAAGTCAAGGAAGGAAAGAAGAAAGGAAGGAAAGAAGGAAGGAAGGAAGGAAGGAAGGAAGGAAGGAAGGAAGGAAGGAAGGAAGGAAGGAAGGAAGGAAGGAAGGAAGGAAGGAAGGAAGGAAGGAAGGAAGGAGGGAAAAAAATAAAGGATTATGTGCTTATTATGTACCAAGTACTGTTAAGTAAACACTGAGGATATAAGTACAAGCAAAGAAGGCAGGCCCTGCCCCAGAGAACTTACATTCTAAAGGGAAGACAATAAATAAAGTTGGAAGGAGATGGAAAGGATCCATGTGCATATGGAAGCAGCTGGAGAGTGTGTGGTGACCTGGGCCCCAGGCAAGAAAAGGCAAAGGCTCATATATAAGAACCCAGAGTCCCAAAGGGCAATGTCCAGCTTCTAGGGGGGCAAGGATGAGGATGGTCAGAGTGCAGGCACCATGGTTTGGAAATGGCTGGCAAGTACATGGTAGCCTGAAATGCAGACCAGCTGTGGCTTTGCCCCAGGAAGGAGGGGTGGCTCTTTCTTCCCATATTCATTTATCATGGGGTTCTTCTCTATACCATAGTACTGGATAACACAAGTATCTCCAAACCATTTTTATCTCCTGTTACATATATAAGTGGGGATTTTGTTTTCATGTATGGATTGTGGACTAGTTGGCTACTGAAGGACCTTCCAGCTCTCAAATTCCCTCATATTTTAAGGGTCCTACTTCACTGGAAACATGCTAGCAGACTGTAAGCCCGATGAAGTCAAGTACTGTCTCACTTTTCTATGTATGTGTGTATGTATGTAGGTAGGTATGTATGTATCCTCAGTATTTTGCGTAGTCCCTGTAAAGGACTGTTGATGGCTTGATTCATTGATTGCAGAGCCTGTCTTCATCTCTATCCCCAATGCGCATCTCTTCCCTTCCTGCCATCGTCCAGCACAATTGCACCCTTGATTGGACTGTCTTTTTTGCTGCCAGTGCTCCCCATTCCCCATCCTGGCTCTTTTTTGTTTTTTTGCCCCATGTTACAATATTACTAGTTACAGTTCTGGCTACAGTCTTTACACCCCACTGTCCAGTATGAGCTCGTGGAAGGCCATTGTAACGTGTAGCCAATTGATCTATTAACCCATCAGGTGCTTCACTGTACTTTAGTGTCTCAGCCCCCGTCCCCTTTTACACCTTTGCAGATCTCAATCAGCAGTGTCTACTATTGAGAAAATACATATGCCCTAGTGGCCACCAGGGAGTCAAATTAACAAGTTGCTTACCCAATGTTCAATAAAACATTTGCAATGAAATGAATCCCTGCAGATGGAACTAAGAATAGATTGATTCTGAAAAGATTTTTATCTCCTGGTATGAAAGGAAAATAGCATTTAACCTACATGACAAACTCCTCATTAGCGGCAACATGACATTCTACAGCTTGTGCTTTTACCAAAATGCTCATTTCAACACAAGCTCCAAAGCTTTTGCAAAAAAATAAAGGGAGGGGGTGGGGGGGAGATGCGAGCAATTTCCTAATTTAATTGTCTACATGCTGGATATTTGTTTTGTGACTAGCTCCTGCTTTGTTGCTGAAGTCATGCCTGGAATAACTCTCTGCTGTAGTGTAAGAGGGTCGCTATCACCATTCCCTATTACTCCTTGAATTGCCCTACAATATGCCCCTAACTTCCCCTTCCTGGGCTTTCTTTCCATCAGCAAAGGAAAACTGCACTTTGTGCCCTATTCACAAAGCTCCATCACTGAGGTCTTTCCCTCTCTCTCTAGCACCAATGTTTCTTCATTGAGATGCAGGTAACACCCAGGTACCAAAGGCTGCAGTGCATCATTAAAGTGCTGGGCAGACAAACAGCTCTCATGCTGCATACCAAGTGGCATTGCATTTAACTGCATCATTTTATTAGGAATGCACCCAGGCCCGCCACTGGGAGCCACTTGTGTGAGAATAGATCCTTGCTAATTACAATGCATGCATATTTCAGAGCTTGCCTTCCTCCGGATGCAGTAGTGTGGGGCCCATAAAGGGATATTTTAGAGCCATATTTGCTTGTAGCTGGGCAATGGCCAGATAAATTGGTAAGGGAGAGAAGTTTGGTACATTTCACTTTGGGTTTGTTTTAGTTTTGCTACCATAGTTTTTAAATTATCATGTCAGTGCTGGTGTATTTGCTGAAAGAAAAGGCACTACCTACACACAGCTGAATGCAGGTACCATTACAGGAAAGCACACTTGTATTAAAGAGTTTCTTTCCCATAACTCCCCCCCAATTCACTTTTCTTTATTCCTATCTCCCTGAGCTTAAAAATGGCATTATAGCAACTTAAAGCTGTGAGTTATTTCATAACAGTCACTCGCATTTACATAGCACTTAGTAATGGAATAGATGGAAGGATAGAAGTGCTTTTAAAACATTGAAGTGCTATATAATTGTCTATTATTATTATTATTATTTATAGTAGGAGAAGGAAGAAAAGGAGAGGAAGAGGAAGAGGAAAAAGAAAGGAGACAGTTGCATGATGCTTCAAGGTTTTATTACACGATAATTTTATTATATATTTAAAAGGAATAGCAAGTTATACATAATAGAATTGCAGTTGTATGCAATCACCTTTTTTCTATTCTACTATGTTATGGAAATGCTTGTTTTATTTCTTAAATTCAGAATAAAATAAAATAAATTTAAAACAAATAAGTCCCAAGAGCATAAAAAAATGAAATAAAAGATAGAAAGTTGACCTTGGAATCAGAAAAATTTAGGTTCAAATCTTGTCTTTGACATATTGGCTAAGTGACATTGAGTGAGTCATTTAAGTTTTCAGTACACTCAAGCAACTCTCTAAGGCTATCAAATGCAGACAGATTTTCTATCTGCAAGTGTATTAGTTTCCACATAAGGAGTTACCTAAGCTGTTGAATTTGCAGACCCAAAGTCTTCTCTCCTCCTAAAAAAATACTTACAAAGTGCTTTACAGATATTATCTCATTTTATCCTCATAACCCTGTCAAGTAGGTGTTAGAGGTATAATGGAAAGAGTTCATTTCTTCATCCCACCCAGTACCTTCTCTTCCCCCTCCAAAATCTTGTAATTATACATATATAATATACATATACATGTATACATATACAGATACATGTATGTGTTTAAGTATGTATGCATATTTATTTTGCATATGTATGTGTATAAGTGTATTTGTGTGTGTGTGTATGTGTGTGTGTGTGTAGACACACAATCATACATATACTGTCTTCTCTAACAGAATACAAGCTTCTCAAGGGTAAGGACTGCTTCATCTTTACCTTTGTATAATCAGTATCTAGCATAGTAACTGGTACATAGAAGGTGCTTAATAAATTTTTATGGATTGATTTTTATGTCCATGTTACCAGTGAAGCACCTGAAGCTCAAGGAGGCCAGGGCTTGCTCTTTGTCACTTCACCAGTGGCAGAGGCAAGATTTAAGCCATGTGTTTTTTCCCCTAAATTTAAGTCTAATGCCTTTTCCAATACACCCAGCCATCTCTCCTAAGCCCCTTATTAGAGAATCACACACACACACACACACACTCACACAAATGCATGCACATACACAAGCACATATTACCTGCTTGAAGACTGAATTGTATAGCACACAAGTGACTGGTTTCTCATGACTTGTGACCCTTTGGCTGGTCTCATTTTTCATCGCCAATAATGTTAGCTGGTTATTGAAGGCAATAAAAAGCCTTCCATGAGCTTCATCAAAGTGGAAGAGACATTTAAACTCCTGACTCTTTGTAAAAGGACAAGCCATCCTTTGGATGGAGAGCTGATGCTGGATGTCCCAGAGTCTCAACACCTGGATGAAGAGTGAAAAAAGAATACTGAAAAATAATCACCAGGTCACTGAAATGACTACAGTACATCACCCCAAATAGTACCCTGGATAGCGAAAGAGTATGAAATTGTGATTTACTAACACAGGGAACTCCAGATAAAGATATTCCCTCTACCAATGGACCTTCCCTGCAACTTTCAGTCTTAACTAAATATATATCACCAGTATTCTCTACTGTTGGCATTTAACTAACAACAAAGGCTTGTTAAACACTTAGGACCATGAGATTATAGATCTGGAACTAGAAGAGAGTATAAGCTAAGAGACCATAGTTCAATCCCTTCATTTTATATTTAAGGAAACTGGGGTCCAAAGTGATGAACTCACTTACTCAGTGTCACATCAGCAGATAGTAATAGATCTGGACCTTGAGCCTAGGTCTTTTGACTTCAAATTCAGCTCCCCTTTCTGCTGCACCTAGTCGGTAATGGATAATATGCTAAATGCTAAAAAAATATGCTTTATATGGATAATATGCCATATACTAAAAAATGTTCTATGTTGTTTGGGACCCACAAATGAAACAATCCCTGCCTTCAAATATCTATATTTACATGGCAATGATGTATGACAAATATGGACTGTTGCTTAAAAAGATGGTCCTTTCTAGTTCGCCAAGTTTGATTTAAATCAACAAACATATATAAAATGTTTATGGTTACAGTCGGAGTCAGAATTGGATTTAGGGTTAACCATTGTGCTAAGGCACTGGGAATACTAAATCAATGATGAAATAGTCCCCACCTTCTAGGAACTTACATTCCACTAAGGTTTTCTTTGTTCACAGTGCGTGGAATATAGGAAGTACTTAATTAGTGATAGTTGATTGATTGAAATATTGGGCTTTCTCCTATCTGCTTCCTCCTTCCTCATATCTAAGATTCTGGCCAGTTCACATCAGGACTCTCTCCCTTAAAACAAAATTATGCTTCAGGTAAACATGAAACAAGTATGGCATTAGCATGGCAGAATGGACAGAAAGCTGGATTCTAAGTCTACTTATAACACTTAACTCATTGTGTGCACCTGAGAAAATTGCTTCATCTCTGGACATCTCAGGCATCTCTCTAGGACTTCTCTAAGTCATCAATGGGTTTTGTTGGTGAGAAAGAGAGAATTTCTACATGCTGATGAAATCACAGATCTTTTGCTGCTCTGCATATCAGTCAATCAACAAGCATTTATTAAGCACCTTCTATGTTCCAAGCAGTATGCTATAGGCACTAGGAATGCGAACATATAAACAAGATGTGAAACAGAACCTGTCCTCATGTCTTTGCTCTTCTATAGGGGAAAAAACACTTACACAAATGATGATGTACAAAGTAATACAAGACAATTGAGGTGATAGGCGCTAACTGAGGATGTTAGGGAAAATTTCATCTGGCACCCAAGAAAAGCTTTGAAGGAAACTACATATTTTAAGGTAAGAAAGGAGTGCATTCTAAGCATGGGGGACAGGCTGCACAAAAGTCCAGATACATATGATAGAATATTGTATGACAAGAACAGAAAAAATAATTTGAACCAAAGAGTCAGTCAACTATTATTTATGCAACACTTACTATATTCTTGGCACTGTGATAAGTAGTCAGAATACAATGAAAGACAAACAACAAAAAAAAACAATGCTTGCTATCAAGGAGCTCAAAGTCTAGCAGGGGAGACAACATGCAAAATAATGAATTAACAAGATATAGACAGAGTGAAGTGGGGGTAAGCTCAGAAGGAAGGCACTAAGATTAAAGAACACTGGGGAAAGGCTCCTTGCAGAAGATGCAACTTTAGCAATTGCTTGAAAGAAGCCATGGAAGCTAGTAGATATTAGGAGATTAGGAGACAAAGATTTATAGGCAAGGGAGAAGAGCCAGGGAAAATGTTCCCAGGGCAATGTTCATGAGGCAAGTCAACACCTATGAGCTAATTATGTGGGAACCTAACTCCAATTTTTCAAGCAGAGTAGCCATCCATAAGAATCACAGTAGCATGGAAACCTGAGTGGCGCATTGGATAGACAGGTGGATTGGAATCCAAGTTCAAATTCTGCCTCAGATATTTCTTAGTTGTATGACTTGAGACAAGTCGTAACCTCTCTAAGCCTGTTTTCCATCATCTGTAAAATGGAAATGATAATATCTACCTCGCCAGATCGTTCTGAAGCTCATGTTAGATAATATATGTCAAAAGTTTTGCAGACCTCGAACTGCTACAAAATGGTAGTTATTACTTGGAAGGGATTGTGGAGGCTATCTGCATACCAGACCAAGGATGCCCTCTAAAACAGTCCTAAGAATTGGTCATCCAGCTTTTTTCTAAAATCCTCTATTAAGGTGAGAACAACTGGTTCCCAGTCTACTTCTGCAGAGCTCTGGTTGTTAAAAAGTTTTTTCTTACACTTAAAAGAAATTTCTCTTTCTCTGACTTCCACCCCATACTCCAGGTTTCACCCCCTGCGGTCAAGCAAAGTGAGTCTAATGTTTCTTTGCCATGACAGCCTTTCAAATATTTAAAAGCAGCTATGCACCCTAAGTCTTCTCTCCTCAAGGATAAATGACTACAGTTTCTTCAATCAATCATCCTATTGCATGGTCTGAAGGCCCTTCACCATCCTTTGGCATCATCTTTGGGACTGTCTCCAGTTTGCCAAAGTTCTTCACTAAATGTCATACACAAAACTGGATGCAATTCTCCAAATGTTGTGTCATCAGAGCAGAGTACAATGAGACTGTCACCTCCCTCATTTTCTGAACATGATTATTCTCTTAAAGCAGCCTAAGATTAGGTGGTACCAAAAAATTTAATGACTGCTGATGTGGTGGGTAGAGGGCTGCCCTCAGAAATAGGAAAATCTGAATACAAATCCTGTCTCTGACACATATTGACTGTCTGACTGTGTAAGTGACATCACCTCTCAGTACTCTAGGGAAGACTCTATGTTGCAAAGATGCTGAACAGCATTAGTAGAGATTGTTTCCTTATCTGGGAGTTCCCTAAATCACAGAGTCACTCAATATCCCCTAATACAAGGTACATTTTTTTTAATTTTTATTCACAGTTCCAAGTTCTCTCCCTCCCACCACCCACCCCCCACCTTTGAGAAGACAAGAAATGCAATGCCTATTATACATATGAATTTACATAAAACATTTCCACATTAGCCATGTTGAAAGAAGGATAGAAAGAAAGAAAGAAAGAAAGAAAGAAAGAAAGAAAGAAAGAAAGAAAGGAAGGAAGGAGGAAGGAAGGAAGGAGGAAGGAAGGAAGGAAGGAAGGAAGGAAGGAAGGAAGGAAGGAAGGAAGGAAGGAAGGAAGGAAGGAGGAAGGAAGGAAGGAAGGAAGGAAGGAAGGAAGGAAGGAAAGAAGGAAAGGAAAAAAGAAAGAAAGGAAGGAAGGAAGGAAGAAAAAAGGAAAAAGAAAGAAAGGAAGGAAGGAAGAAAAAGAAAGAAAGATGCTGTAATCTGCACTCAAAGTCCATCAGGAACTAGATAGCATTTTTCATCATGAGACCTTTGAAATTGTCATGAATCACAGTATTAATCAGAGTACAGCTAAGTCTTTCTCAACTGATTATCATTACAATATTGGTGTTACCATGAATGATGTTCTCCTAGTTTCATTCACTTCATTTTGGATTAGTTCATATAAGTCTTCCCAAGTTGTTGGGTTTTTTTTTCTGAAACCAGGATCACCTTCACCATTTCTTACAGCACAATAGTATTCCATCACAATTGTATGCCACAACTTCTTCAGCAATTCCCCAATTGATGAGCATCCCCTCAGTTTCCAACTAACACAAAAGAGCTATATTTTTTGTATATATAGGTCCTTTTCTTTGATCTCTTTAAGGCACAGGCTTAGTAGCAATATTGCTGAATCAAAGGCATAGTTCCAAATTGTTCTCTAGCATGGTTGGACTAGTTCACCACTCCACCAACATTAAAGTAGCATACTTATTTTTCTTTATCACCCTCAGCATTTGCTATTTTCATTTTCTGCCATGTTAACCTATCTAACAGGTGTGAACTGATATGTCAGAGCTGTTATAATTTGAATTTTTCTAATCTATAGTGATTTAGAGCATTTTTATATAACTATTCATAGCTTTGGTTTCTTCCTCTGAAAATTATCTGTTCTTACCCTTTAACCATTTATTGATTAAAGAATGGCTCTTATTTTTATAAATATGGCTCAGTTCTTTATATATTTAAGGAATGAAACCTTTATCAGAGAAACTTGGTGTAAAAATTTAATCCAAGTATATTTGAGGAGACAGAGAACTCTAAAACAATTAAGGGAACCAAGGGAGGCTTTACAGAGGTGATGGTACCTGAGAGAAGCCTTGAAGGAAGACAAGAATTCTAAAAGGTGATGAAAAAAAGGAAGTGCATTCCAGGAGAATCGGATGGCATGTGGAGATATGTGGAGGCTAGAGATGATATATCAAGTTCAGGGAATGACAAACTGTCCATTTTGGCTAGAATTTAGATTTTGGAAATGGGAATAGTATGAAATTAGTCTAAAAAAGTAGATGGGAACCAGGCTATGGAAGGCTTTAAGTTCCAGGCTCAGAATTTTGAATTTTTTTATCCAATGGGAAGCCTCTGGAGGTATTTCAGTAGAAGATTATAGTCATAGCTCTTCTTATGACTATACCTTAAGAAGGCCATTTTGCAATGACATGGGGAATTATTTGGAAAGGATAAGCAAGACCAACTACCAATTAGGAGGCTATTGAAGTAGTCCAGGCAAGAACTAAGGAGGATCCGAGCTTGAATCATGGCAGTGTGAGTAGAGAAAAGGGACTAGATAGGAGAGGTGTACAATGAGGAGCCAAAGAGATCAATGAGGTTGTAAGCTCAAGTGAGTGAGATGATGGTGGTTCCCACAACAAAAAAAGGGAGCTTGGAGGAAGGGCAGGTGCTTATTTAACAACCAGCTCTCTGTGGGGAAAATGTGTGCAG